CCCCAAAACCCCAAAACCCCAAAACCCCAAAACCCCAAAACCCCAAAACCCCGGGATAAAGAGGTTATATTGAAAATGCACACTTCTAATTACGGGTTCTTAAATTTTCGAAGGTAAATTAATAGATTTTACAACATATAATAAAATCTTAATCTAAGCATTCTTGCACTTCATCTTCAGATTTCAAAAATAGGTTGAACCCTGTCATTAGAATTCCGATAACTATTCCATATATACATAGAGCTAGTGCTGGCACTAGCTGCCACCAGCTGTTGTTCACACCGTGTCTGCGCATGATCACGAAATAGAACAGTCCAGGAAAGGTGAAATTCAGGAATGAATACCCAATTGAGCCTGCTAACCTGATGACAAATTCCACATTGCGAATTAAACATGCCGATAGCACAATGGCTAAGTATAAGCCAAAGGTCATTGAATAGTAGATGAAGCGTCTCAGTTTACTAGAGACAGTTTCTTCATTGGTGTCCTCTTCGAACTGAAACTGGATTAAGCTACTGCTTCCAAATTCATGATTAGTATCAGACGGTGTTGAGTTCTCTATTTCAATCACACTTTCATCAGTATGGTTTAGCTCAACATAGTCTTGTTTCTGCGATGCTATCTTATGAAGCTGATCAGCTTCATATTGTTGCTCATTTTCAGCTGAAAGCAATTGAACTCGTTCGGTAGGAACTAATCTGTTCCTTATATGCGAATTCTGGAAGTTTTCTCCAGACTCAATATTCTCAGTTCCATTTTGTGTTTCTCCTCTAATGCAAAACAATGCTATTATCCCAAGAAGGGACTTATTGGCCATCAAAAACACAAATGGGAAATGCCCTACTAGGACGATAGTATAAACACTTTTAAGAAGGATTCCTTGCCATGGGTGACTGTCGTGATTTCTATCCAAGTTATTAAGAATATCTTTGCATATTTTGTCTCCGAAGGCAGTCACAGATACAAAAATAACCATCATGTATATGAAAAATCAAAAAGTCAAAGATAAAATAGTTGAGATGATGCCTTGAGAGTAGTTCTTCTCTTTCAAATTGTTGTAAACTGGGAAGAATGCTGACTGGAACCCATATCCAACCAGAGGTGTCGATAACGACCCAAAGAACTCACTGTCAAATTTTATCTTGAAGAATTCACCCCAATTTGTATCTGAATATTCGCTGAGCCATGAGGTTTTAAAGACGACTAATAAAAAGAAGAACAATATGGAAAATAAAATCACTGAAAAGAACAGTAGCACTCCGATAATTCTGAGGTCTTGAAACCTCCTTTTAAACATCCAAGGAGATAACAAGAGCGCTATCATAGCGATGCTAAACCACTGGTTGCCTAGAGAGTCTTTGTACTTGTTTTCAATTTCGGGAACAATTCTCAACATTGAGCTTAGAGACTGGCCTATGATAATCAAGTAAGCAATGGGTAACATTCCGAAAACGATTATATCCAGCAAGTTTACCAGGTACAGCGAGGACTTTCCCAGCACTTCGCATCCAATCCGAGCCATCGAGTCTTGACCTGTAACTTCTGCTCATTTTAGAAACAGATGAATCGAGTAAATGGCTCAGATTCATTTGAAAATATGGTACGGAACGGCAAAGTAGATGCTCATATGATATGCAGAGTACGGTAACGCCACTAGTGCAGAACCTATGATAAAGCTGATGATTGAGAGTATGCCGACTGGAGTTGAAATCCTTGAATTTTCAACCATGGAATTGGTAGCAGTGTCTGTTGCAGCATTAGTATTAGTTTGCATTAAAATATTAAATTCAATACTTTTTAAAACCCATGGGGTTTTGGGGTTTTGGGGTTTTGGGGTTTTGGGG